TAAACAAAAACCTTGGGTTATGTTTATTGCTAGCAATCAGATCAGAAAAGCAGGCACCTCGCGAATCTTTAATAATCTGGTTCAAATTAAACAGTAGTTCCCTCATGTAGAGGCGGTGGACTTCAAGTTTGTGCTTTTTCCAATTTCACTCAGCCTTCCCTTTATTCCCTTCTTTGTTGTCTAATGTTGTTGTGATTCCAAGGGGTTTTATTAATAACTGGGACAGCCCTGGATGTACACTGAACAAAATTATAAATGCAACACTTTTGTTATTGCAGAGATAATCCATCCACCTCACAGGTGTGGCATATCAAGATGCTGATCAGGCAGCATGGGTATTGCACAGGTGTGCCATAGGCTGGCCACAATAAAAGGCCCCTCGAAAATGTGCAGTTCCATCACACAGCACAATGCCACAGATGTCGCAAGTTTTGAGGGAGCGTGCAATTGGCATGCTGACTGCAGGAATGTCCACCAGAGCTGATGTCCGTGAATTGAATGTTCATTTCTCTACCATAAGCCGTCTCCACCAGCCCAGGACCTCCACATCCAGAATCTTCACCTCCAAGATCGTCTGAAACCAGCCACCCGGACAGCTGCTGCAACAATCGATTTGCATAACCAAAGAATTTCTGCACAAACTGTCAGGAACCGTCTCAGGGAAGCTCATCTGCATGCTCATTGTCCTCATCGGGGTCTCGACCTGACTGCAGTTCATCATCGTAACCGACTTGAGTAGGCAAATGCTCACATTCGATGGCGTCTGGCACTTTGGAGAGGTGTTCTCTTCATGGATAAATCCCGGTTTTCACTGTACAGGGCAGATGGCAGATGGCGTTGTGTGGGTGAGCGGTTTGCTGATGTCAACGTTGTGGATAGAGTGGCCCATGGCGGCGGTGGGGTTATGGTATGGGCAGGCATGTGTTATGGACAACGAACACAGGTTTTATTGATGGCATTTTGAATGCACAGAGATACCGTGACGAGATCCTGAGGCCCATTGTTGTGCCATTCATCCACGACCATTACCTCATGTTGCAGCATGATAATGCACGGCCCCATGTTGGGGGCTAAGTCCGTTGCTCTACACTCCCAGACCAACACCTGCACAATAAAGTTTGCAGATGACACTACGGTCATGGGACTGATCAGTGGTGGGGAGGAGACGGCATACAGAAGAGAGGTGGCAGGACTGGTGGCCTAGTGTCAGGAAAATAATATCTCCTTGAACACAACCAAGACAAAGGAGATGATTATTGATCCTAAAAGGGGGAGGAGGGAACAGCACACCCCACTGTACATCGGTGAGACAGAGGTATAGAGCATGAAAACCTTTAAATTCCTCGGAAGCCACATCAGCGAGGACCTCACCTGGTCTCACCACACCCACCGGCTCCTGAAGAAAGCCCAGCAGAGACTATACTTCCTAAGAAGGCTGAGGAAATTCGGCATGGCAACCAAGATCCTCAGCAACTTCTATAGATGTACAGTCGAGAGCATCATCACCAGCTCAGTCACCGTGTGGCATGGCAGCTGCACTGCTCAGGACAGGAAGGCTCTCCAGGGTGTAATAAAAACTGCACAATTCATCTCTGGAGCAGCCTTCCCATCACTACAGGACATCTACACAACCAGGGTCATCAGGAGGGCCCACAACATCATAAAGGACAATACACACCCACAACACAGTCTCTTCACACTCCTGCCGTCAGGGAGGCACTACAGGAGTGTGAAAGCAAGGACAAAAAGACTCTAACAGTTTCTACACCCAGGTCATCAGACTCTTAAACAGTACTAGCCTTGTATTTATACTGTACATATGATAATAAACCTTTTGAATCTTGAATGTTGCAAGGATCTGTACACAATTCCTGGAAGCTGAAAACATCCCAGTTCTTGCATGGCCAGCATACTCAGACATATCACCCATTGAGCATGTTTGGGATGCTCTGGATTGGCGTATACGACAGCATGTTCCAGGTCAAGAGTGGACCAACATTCCACAGGCCACAATCAACAACCTGATAAACTCTATGCGAAGGAGATGTGTTGCACTGCGTGAGGCAAATGGTGGTCACACCAGATACTGACTGTTTTCTGGTCCCCCCCCACCCCAATACAGTGAAAGTGAAACTGCACATTTTCAAGTGGCCTTTTATTGTGGCCAGCCTAAGGCACACCTGTGCAATACCCATGCTTTCTGATCAGCATCTTGATATGCCACACCTGTGAGGTGGATGGATTATCTCGGGAAAGGAGAAGTGCTCACTAACACAGATTTTGACAGATTTGTGAACAACATTTGAGAGAAATAGGCCTGTTGTGTACATAGAGAAAGTCTTAGATCTTTGAGTTCAGCTCATGATGAATGGGGCAAAAACAAAAGTGTTGCGTTTATAATTTTGTTCAGTGTATATGGAGTGAAAAAATCAAGGGCTGATTTACACAAATCATTAATTAATTAATAATATTGAAAAAGTGAAGAGGAGAATTGGCCAGACTAGAAAAATAGCTACAAAATGTGGCTGCTGACTGATTATTAAAGATGCGAGAGTAGATTATACGTTTCTAATTATTTATTATCAGTACCTATCAAAAGTGCTACAAGGATGGGAAAGCGTTGAACCGGTGGCCAAGGCTCATTGATGCACGTGGAGAGCGAAGGCTGGCCTGTGTGGTCCGATCCAACAGATGAGCTACTGTAGCTCAAACTGCTGAAACAGTTAATGCTGGTTCTGATAGAAAGGTGTCAGAACACACAGTGCAGAGCAGTTTGTTGGTATGGGGCTGCAGAACCTTCTAACCACTAGGGTGCCTAGGTGCTCATAATGTTATGGCTGATATGCTCTTTCTTGTAGTACTTTAATGTTGAAGTGGCCCTCCTATGAGATGAAAATATTAGCAGTGGCCCTAAACCAGTTTGAGTTTGTGACTACTGATCTACTGCAATGCATCATTATTCTGTAAGATCATCATATGTTTGTAGCCTTGCTGTCCTGTGAAAACCACGTTTCTCTAAAAACTTCCAGCCCTGTCTCCTAGAAATTCTGTTTATATACAACAATTTTTTTTTTATTTCATGAGCTTTGAGAAACAGCCTGTTTTCAGTTTATGTAGCTTAAAGCCCAGTTCAGACCAAAGGCTGAAAATGAGAAGAAACAGTTTTATAAATTGGAATCGCGAGATCTAACATTATACAAAACATTACTCAAAAATGACATATGTATGCAGGAAAATTACAAATGCTCCAGTGTCTCAACTAATTGTAGCTTAGAGCAGCAGCAGTTCACGTATTTCACTTAAACACCTGTATTGCAGCAGCTGCAGTAAGGACACTTGTCTTTGTTTTACGTTTGCTGCACTCACTGCTGATCAACTTGAAAAATCTCTATCTCCTGCCGGCTGAGGATAAACTTTGCTGACAAATGTGACCACAATTAAGAAGCGGTTGTATCCCAGCAGATAGTGCCAAATGAGCAGACACTGAAAACAGTTGGAAACACTGCACTGTTGCATTTCCAGTCCCTGTGTTGTTTGAACCGTTCTCCCTCATTGGTATCCCTGCCTTGCTCAGTGCCTGTGTCTTGTGGGAGACCTGAAATTAGATTGCCCCAGTTTTCCAGAGTGGGCTTACTGCAAAGTTACCAAGAAGCCCTTCCACACACGACATACTGTAAGTCACTGGAAATCAGGGCTGTTGTGAAAAATTCAGTTTTGGACTGACAGGTCTGAAAATGCCATTAGAAAAGCCTTTGGTTATCCAACAGTGATGTGAGAGGGCCAGCTGCTGCTGGGCTGCTTATCATCTCAGCATTTCATAGATGAAAATGATCATGAGAACTAATGGTAACTTTTTCCTTCCGTTATCTAGAAGACAAGTCAATACAATACAATAAAATGTGTCTGATAAAGGTCCAGTGTGTAAGATTTGGGAGGATCTATTGGCAGAAATGTTTTCTTATTTTTGAGCTTATTCACAATTTGTTTTTATTTTGTTAGTACCCATTGATTTGGGATTCACCAGTGTTTTCTTATTTTGCTCTTCTCTTAGGTAAGAGAACATTTTACAAGTGGTCAGAGTATTTTTTGCAAGATAAAAACATCTAGTTTTCACAGTCCACAAATTGCTTGCCCAACATAAGGAAACTTATTTTATAATCAAATTTAGATTATATGTTTCAGGGTTGTGTTTCTCAAATGGCCCTGTACAAGTATGCTCCAAAAAGCCCACACTACGGCAAGACCCCTCTCTGACAGCTTGTTTACACCACCCGCTTCTGCGTGGCGGAACGTCTGATTTTTGTTTTGGCGCCCATGTTAACAGATTAGAGCAGTCAATTCAATTCAATTCAATTTTATTTGTATAGCGCCAATTCATAACAGAAGTTATCTCAGGACACTTTTCAAATAGAGTAGGTCTAGACCGAACTCTTTAAAACATTATTTACAGAGACCCAACAGTACCACCATGAGCAAGCACTTGGCGACAAGGACAAGGAGAAACTGCCTGTTAAAAGGCAGAAACCTAGGACAGATCCTTCGGCTCTAGGTGGGTGGTCGTCTGCCTCGACCAGTTGGGGTGAAAGAGAGAGACAGAGAGAGAGAGAGAGAGAGAGAAAGAAAGAAAGAAAGAAAGAAAGAAAGAAAGAAAGAAAGAAAGAAAGAAAGAAAGAAAGAAAGAAAGAAAGAAAGAAAGAGAGAGAGAGAGAGAGAGAGAGAGAGAGAGAGACACACAGACAGACAGACAGGTGCACAGCAACAACAGTATTGGCAATGGCAATCTAGCAGGACCATGGCAGGAGGCTCCACCAGGATCGATAAGAACCTGCGAGACGAGAAAGCACAAGAACTCTGGGGAAGAAGTGAAGTTAGTAACATGCATTAATGGGACATGAATGAGTGCAGAAAGAGAGAGGAAGAGAGGAGCTCAGGGCACCATGGGAAATCCCCCGATAGCCTAGGCCTATAGCAGCATAACTAAGGGATGGTTCAGGACTCACCTGATCCAGCCCTAACTATAAGCTTTATCAAAGAGGAATGTCATAAGCCTACTCTTGAATGTGGAGAGGGTGTCTGCCTCCCGAACCACAACTGGAAGCTGGTTCCACAGGAGAGGAGCTTGGTAACTGAAGGCTCTGGCTCCTGTTCTACTTTTAGAGACTATAGGAACCACAAGTAGCCCAGCATTCAGAGAACGTAGTGTTCTAGAGGGGTAATAGGGTACTATGAGCTCTTTAAGATATGAAGGGGCCTGACCATGAAGAGCTTTATAGGTGAGGAGGAGGATTTTAAATTCAATTCTACATTTTACAGGGAGCCAGTGCAGAGTAGCTAGTACAGGAGAGATGTGATCTCTTTTTCTAGTTCCTGTCAGTACTCGTGCTGCAGCGTTCTGAATTAATTGGAGCGTTTTAATGGACTTATTGAGGCAACTTGATAATAAAGAGTTGCAGTAATCCAGCCTTGAAGTAACAAATGCATGGATTAGTTTTTCTGCATCTGTCTGTGATAGGATGTGTCTAATTTTTGTAATATTAGTTTCTAAGGTTTTTGGGAAACCTATTTGAATGCAAGACAGCGAGAAGAGCTGAGTGTAAAGTTGAAAAAGAAAGAGAGACTGAGGAAGAGAGATGTAAGAGGAGAAAGCAAAACATGGAGAGAGGGAACATTTTTTGTAATTTATTTGAATCCCCGGGGTAGACCAAGAACTCGCTGGAGTGATAATATATCTCATCTGGCCTGGGAACGCCTCGGGATCCCCAAGGATGAGCTAGAAGGCATTGTGGGGGAGAGGGACATCTGGAGTTCAGTGCTTGACTTGCTGCCACGTGACTGGTATGTGGACAATAATGGATGGATGAATCCCCATTAGTCTTTACCTTGGCTACAACCTAATTACTCTTCCTGGAGTGAAGTCAAATGTCATATAAACCAGCAGTTGGGGGTTGGGACCTAAAGGGACCTGATTAAGGGAGATTATAGCGCATAGGACGGCTTGTTTTGATGAAAATGAGGTTGTAGCTCGTTATGAGCTTTACTACAGTTGGAAAGAGGCATCCGCTGTGTTTTAAAAATGTCCCGATTATGAGTTATTGATGCGGAAAGTGTGAATATGTGAATATATTGCCAACTGCCATTGAGGCGCATGCGCACTTCTTAGCTCATAATTTCGACTTTTTTATCTCATAATTATGACTTTTTTATCTCATAATTATGACTTTTTATCTCATAATTATGACTTTCTATCATAATTTCGACTTATCTCATAATTATGACTTTCTATCTCATAATTTCGACTTACTTTGAACTTTGAGGATATTTTTATTATCAAGGCTAGGTTTTATCTGTCTTTTTTTTTCTCCTGGCAGAAATGGGCTTCCATAGGGAACAGCATTGCATTTTTTTATTTTTTTAGGCTTTTATTGCCTTTATTTGATAGGACAGCTGAAGACAGCCAGGAAAGGGGGGCAGAGAGAGAGGGGATGACAGGCAGCTGTAGGACCTTGTCGTTGTCTATTATCATCACAAGAGACTTTTCTTTTTGGTTTCTTAATTCCACACACATCATATTATTTTGATTCTTTCCCAGTTCAGAAAGGTCTCTCTCTCTGACTTTTTGACCCAGGAGGGGAGGTGAGACTGTGGCGCTGACAGTCTCCTGCACAGAGAGCCTGGTTCTTTTCAGATTCACAGATGGTATCTCTAGGTGTCAATTTGTTTTATCCTCTTCAACAGAACACTGACTCCTCCATAGATCAGAACGACACTTCACACTTAGGTTCTGGAAACCGTTGTTTTCTTACAAGAGATGTGTGATAATTTAAATGCCTTTTTTGGTTTTTAATCCCTATGGAATGGACATGGAATGTGTTTGCATCTCCTTTGATCTAAATTGTACCACCTCCAGAGAGAGGTTCCTTCAAGGTAATTTATGAGAGGTCCATTTGCTGGAGGACATTCCAATCCATAGTGGTAACAGCACCGGCATTGATATAGATTTAGTTCTGTTGGAGTATTATTGTAAAATTTCATCTTCTCAAAATCAACAGATTGCCATCCAGCATGAGAAGGTCGCAAATGTAATGCCTTTCTGATGTTCACATTCCCAGGTTGGACTAAGTTACAAAATCATGTGTGAAATGTCTGAATGTTTGATGGAACCACAGTGCCACCTTTTGGTAACATTCTGGTATAGCGTACAGTATCTTCAAAATGGACTTTGTTTTATAATTGTGTATTATTCCAAATGGTAAATGCCTGACACATAATTTTATAACAAGAATTAAGCTAACACTATACGAAATATGTACAATCCATTAGTGTTGCTTCATATGCATGTTTGTGACATTGTAACTAGTTCTGCTTTTATTTTTACATCAAGTAATTTCAGTTATGTTATGTTAAAACATGTAAACTATGTATTAAGTCATGGTGGGTTCTGTGAATGGTGAATTATGATTTCGAAACTTTAAAACACGGTAGAAGTAAGTTAATAAAGTTACAAATATAAAAATATCGCTAGAGGAAGTGACGCGATTAGCCTTTCCAGATACGCCTCCAGACTAAAACACACACATATATATATATATATATATATATAATATAATATAGATTCCGGTCACTCACTCTTCTTACTCTCTTCTTACTTTTACACTTCCAAAACTCTCTTCTTAAATTTGCTTTGGATCCATTCGTTATTTACTCTCGTTCTACTTTTAATTTCCGTACTTTACTTCGTTTGAGACACGTGTTGAATTTTCCTCACGTAATAGTTTGTGGTGCTGAAGTACTTTTTAGTACTTTTATTTTGAAGGCTCAAGACCACGAACAAAGTTAATTCTTTTATACGTTTTTTTAGTTTATATATATTGTCAAGTATTGTCGCCTTATTTACAGAAAGTGAATTTAATTTAATTCTTTGATTTACTGACTACAGAGGATTCGCCAGGCCAGCGTTTCATCCTACAGTTATTTTAGACAAGAAGTTGAATAAGTTCATAATCAAAGCCGAAGACCAACCACTCTGAGGACGTTTTCTTAATACATTTATCATAAGCCAGAAGGACATCGCAGTGGTTGACCGCTCAAGGAGACGTATAAATGTTTCAGCCGGACAAAGACATTATTCTCCAGACTATCTGCCTCCAACGCACTCAAAGCGCCAAGCCGCGCTGGGCCTTGGACTGGAGAGCTAATGGGTATCGGTGACGACACGTTCTTGGACCTGTGATTCTGAACAGCAGCCGAGCAGTACCAGCCGGAGGAGAAAGATCCTGAAGTCCCTCCATCTCTACAAAAAGTAGGCTGAAACCCACATACACTGCCGGGGTCCCACACACTTCCCAAGAGTTGGTGTCTGTCTGTGAGCTTTCATTACCATAGTTTAAGCTCAGAAGAATTTTAGATTAGGGCCTCGTAGTTTTAAAAGTTACTCCCGTATCACAAAATCCACCATCGCTCCTGAATCACCCAATATTAATAATTAATTTACTGTCCACATATTCTGTTACTTGTTATTGTTTGTTTGAATTGTCATTTCATGCTATTAACTCTTCATTAATTTAGTTAATAAACATATATAACCATATGTCCTTGTCTGTGTAGGTTGACTTGATGTGGGGAAATCGATGAATCATGTAAAAGAAATCACTACTTTAGAATATGAGATTGAATATAGATTTTGAAATTGAATACATTGATTTAAAATTGATTTGATTAGGTTTGTAGAATAATTTCCTCCGGATTATTCCAGTAACTAAACAATGGAGGTGGTGCCCCATTTACGAGTATTATTAATCACCAATGATTAATTACCTTTCTTATTAAATAGTAGTGCAACCGCTACACAGCAAAGGGCCGCAGGTCAGATTTGAACCCTGGGCTGCTGCAGCAAGGACTCAGCCTCGGTACATAGGTCACCAGCTCTACCCACTGAGCTAACCGGGCGCCCAACAGCACTGCATCTTTAGCTGTCATTTTTGTTGCATCTTCTGCGATTGAAACTTCCTGGAGGGACCTGGGACAGAGAGGGATCTGGAAACAATTTGCAACAGTGAAGTAGAAACACACTTTGTCAGATGTTCAGATGGATTTTAAACAAGCCAACAGTTGATCCCGATTAAACAACTTTATGTGGCGGTGAAACTGACATGTGAATTATTTCTATCAGCAATAATAAGATTATAAATTCAGTGTGGAGATCTGCATTCACTAAGTAAACAAAAGTTGTATATTACCGGAATCATCCTTAAAAATAAAAACAATGGAAAAAGAAAAATGCTCATTGCAGAAAAACTTTGCGTGACTGCTTGCTCGATTTGTTTGTCTATATAAGAGGCCTCAGCAGCAGTGCACCCGGCTGGCAGACAGACTGCGCTTCCCTCGCTCGCGGCCAAGATTGATCTTTGTCAGAGCCGAAGAAACACTCATTGTTTCCGAGAGAGGCAGTCCATTTATTTGAAGCCCTGCACATACTCCAGACCACAGAGGGCAGATTTAAAAGGCAACCTATAAACCCACAGAAGATTGAAGTGTGTGTGAATGTGTGTGTGTGTGTGTGTGTGTGTGTGTGTGTGTGTGTGTGTGTGTGTGTGTGTGTGTGTGTGTGTTTGTTAGTGAGGAAATCAGGCATTGTTTCATTCCAGTGAAAAGTTTGACTTTACCAATGGAATTGGCCAGTATGAAATTTTAAATGAAAACAGAGTGAGGTTTGCTGTCAAGAACCGACATCTTTACCTTTATAGTATCTTTATAATAGGAAAACATACTTACAGTATATACATTTCATGAACACATAACAGTCCAAACACTCAATGCAATGTGTAAAAGCATCTGTCACTATTATTTTAATATATAAACCTTTACAGCAGTAAGGCAGCTTCATCCCACCATGGAATATGTGTCTGCCCTTTTTGTTCCGACACAGTCCTTAGCTTTCAATGTCTTACTTTTTACCGTCTTCTTCTGTTTGTAAGAAGGGTTGGGAGGGTTAGTGTAATCAATTACAATTACCTGTTGAAAAATGTAGAAACCTAATCCAAGTATCACAATATTACAGTGACGTAACTTGGATTGATTAAAAGACAAAATAAAATAAATATCAAGATGACTTGACTCTAATGTAACCTTAGAAAAGAAAATGGAAATCATAATAATCGTGAAATTTCCACCCAGTTAAAGCATTTTTGATTATTATGAACTGGCAGCTGTAAGAATAGCTATAGTTTCATGTGTGCATTATAGTATATCATTCTTTATTTTACAATGTATTTTAAATATGTAATCCTGCTAATCTGTCTGATTACATATTTTTTACATTTCTAAAGTTGATTGTACTGATTACAAACAAGATGGCATTAGAAATCTATACATTGTTTTTTTTTAATCTTGAGACATTTTTCCAAGTTTCCAATTCTTTCATTTAAC